CTACAAAGTTGAGGTTGGCACTAACACTCTGCAGTCTGTAGCTAAAGAGTTGACATCCCCATGAAATCTGCTGTGTAATATGGACCACAATAAGACAAGCTGTCTTCTCTGACCTGTGAACACATGGAAACCCCTTTGCTTAAAGGGAGTCTGGCAACTACGGACTCCAAGAAACAGGCATGGGGGACCCAGTATGAGAAGCATGTGTAAAAGCATGGTGAATCCTAGCTTTGTCCACTGAGAGGGAGGTCACGGAATTCCTGACTGCAATTCCCTCCTCCTCACATTCCCATGCTCACTCCAATTCTTAGATTGATGTCACATTTTAAGATGAATTTGAAGGTAAAAAACACTTTTACTTACTACTGGTGAATGTAACATTGACACTGTAAGACTGTCCTTTGTGCAGTTTGCAGGGCTGGGTGGGACATGGGCTTACATTCACTTCCTTTATAACTCCGACCCCAGAACCTGCAAAAGAAGAACAATTTGTTTGGATGGAGGGAAAAGAAATCACCTCGGCTGTCTCCTACCTCATGGGACGGTGCTCTGTCTTCCCAGTGAGACCACTGGGACCAGCAGGGTGGTGAGAAACTGCTCATATTTGACAGGTGGAGGGGAATTAAGGAAATGATCGCGTATACACAGCCAGCTCCCCTACTCTACAGGCTGGGAGGGCTCCACCAGGGACAACCATCCCTACTCCTCCATCCATCCTGACACAGGATCTGAAAGTGGCACACACAGCTTAAGTGATGACTCAAGTCACAGAGCTACTCTTTCCACTTGGGGCCTAAGGCTACTGTTTCCAGTTGTAATCTTGAGACTGGCTACTCTCTTAACTGTCCTTCCCACCCCCACCCACCCCTGGTCTTTCAATCCTGCCCTGGTGGCTATCCAACTCATGGTCTCTGAGCTTTGAATACTGCTACCAATGAGAACAGTTTCAAGCACACATTTGAGATACCCAGAGCAGAGAGGTACACTCTACTCTGGAACCCATGTTCTTCAAAATAAGTGGTTGGAGGCAGGGAGTGTGCCTTTTTTCCCCCCGCCAGTCTAAATAAGGACAAAAATACTCTGACCAAGAAAAGTTAAGCACAAATCTTTAAGAAGCTTCTTACTTCATCCAGGCCCCTGAAACCAGACGGCTGAATGGGAGAGAACAGAAGTAAAATCTGGGTAAGTTTAAGCTCCACCACTCATACACCATTGCTGAGAGCTAGACTCCAGGATCCGACACCTGGCTGTGAAATCTCACCCGCTCCATCAAGTATTGTGGAAACTTAAGGCAAGATACTTAGCCTCCCTGGGGCTAAAAACAGTACCTACCTCAGAGGGTAGGTGAGCTAATACATTATAACTCTTAATAAGTGCTTAGAACATAGTACTGCTATACAGGTATTCACCATTACTATCATTATACTGGGGCAATTCCCAGGTGGCTCGAGTTCTAAAGAATCCACCTGCCAAGGCAGGAGACACAAGAGATATGCGTTTCATCCCTGGGTCAGGAAGATAGCCTGAAGGAGGAAATGGCAACCTACTCCAGTCTTCTTGCCTGGAAAATCCAATGAACAGAGGAGCCTGGTGGGCTACAGCTCATGGGGTCACAGAGTTGGACACAACTGAGAGTGAACACACACACACACACCCCATCACCACCATACTGGGATTTAGTCCATGAATTTAATCTAGAGCAGCTGCTCCTGGGTGGGTTAGCAAGTTCCCCTTTGACACAAAAGGTGAGCATCTCACCTCAAATTTACTTTGTGGGTAGAAATTCTGGATCTAGACAATAGAACGGACTGTCTCAAAAGTACAGTGTATGAAGACAAAGAAAATGGCAGGTTGAGAGCACATTATCTTGGGTGAAACAGTTTCCTTGTTTTGACTAACACTGCTCCAGCTAGTTCTGTATACTTTGCTGTCCCCTATCCCAACTTGATTCTCCATCCTGGCAAAGTCCTCAAAACATAAATACAAGATTCTTTTCTCTAAGGACTCTCTTCCACTCTGTCCTATCTTTTAGGACCAGAAAAAAAAAAAAATCAGGAACCTTAATCAACAACTTATTAAAAAACCAGTGCTTATGCTGAAGCTTTCAACTTCTAGTTTCTATCAAGGCAGGCTCACATGATCTAGGAGGTACTAAGTATCCTCGGTACCCTCTACTGATCTAGAGGGTAGTACTTAGCTACTTCATTCAGTTTTGCTTTTTTTCCCCTCTTTTTGTTGATAAGAGGTTCTCGGACTTCCAGTGTCAACAGAGCAAATTTCTCAGGCCTAACCCTCAAAAATTGCAAAACTAGTTTGCTCAGCCCCATCTCTGACTAGAGGAAATACCACTTTAGGAGAAAGGAGGCAGAGTGGGACTCAAAAAACCTTTTGATGTGGGCACTGAAGTTTTTACATTGTATTTCCCAATTCAAAAGTAAATCGAAAGTCTGTCAGTGAAACTCTCCTTTACTTAAGAAGTTCTTGCCATAGGTGTCCACCTGGTTTTTTCACAGGAGCAGACCAATCTCAGGATTCAGTTTCCTTAGGTTTTTCTTTTTTTTAATGTTAATGCTACTGTTGAAACCCAAAGTGATTCACAAACACCCACTAGTTTCCTACTGCTTACTAGCTGTAAGAACTTGGGCAAGTTTCTATATGTGCTGGTTTCAGACTGCAAGAGTTGAATGAGTTGATTAAGTTAACATAGTGTCTTTATCCAAAGTTGGCCACTAAGTTTAGTGGAAGGAAAGGCAGTAATATGAGGTGATAATAACATCTTTCAAATGCCAGTCTCGTAGTGGAACAGCATTTGTTAAGCATTAATAGGCCAGCAATTTTTATTCCTTGATCACTCCTAGCCCTAGCCCCCAATTCTGCTCTTGCCTCAACATGAATTTTGGAAATATAGTGGAAAGAGTATTTATTCCCTCATTTACTTTTCCAACAAATATTTATTGGGCAGTTACTATTATCTGGGCACTGGATGTAAAGAAGCACATTTATTCTGGTTGTCATTACGCCATGTAATTGGGTGAGTTACTTAACCTCTCTGAAATTCAATGACTGTCTATATGAGTGTGTGTGTGCTCAGTCATGTCTAACTCTTTGCGGCCTCATGGACTGTAGCCCGTGAGGCTTCTCTGTCCATGGGATTTCCCACGCAAGAATATTGGAAGGGGTTGCCATTTCCTCCTCCAGGGGATCTTCCAGACTCAGGGATCAAACCTCCTCTCTTGCATCTCCTGCATTGGCAAGTGAGTTATTTACCACTACTGCCACTTGGAATGCCCATGATTGATTATAGGATCTCCAAGTTTTCTTCCAGCTCACAAATTTTATAAAGTCAGTTTCATTTCTCTTTCACTTATCATTACACTTCTCCACTTCAGAAAAGCTCTGCTCAAACATTTAATTTGGATAGATTTGACTGAAGGAACTCACAGTTTCTACCCCGTTGTATTTCTCATCAAAGATTCCAACCACAGCTGCAAGAGAGGGTTATGCATCACAAGCTGCGACCAGAACAAGAGTTTTATAAATAGGAGGAGAAAACTGGAAAGAATTAAAAGTGCCATAGCCCCAAAGGAAGCCCTAAAGGAATAGCTCACGAAAGGAGAATTGACTTCAGACGCGTCATCAAAAGGGAAATGTAAAAGAAAAGCAAAAGGTGGGGGGAGGGAGCGGGCACCCAAGACACAAGGCAGAAATAAAGAGAAGTTTTGCATCGCACCCCTGACGCCCCAAGCGGCACGTGAACCTTCTGCTGTTTGCCCTACAAACTTTAGGAAACTTCAGCAAAAAGCCCACCTCCAGAAACGTGCTGGGACCCAAACATGGGTTCATGAGATAAAGTTGTGAGAGGTCGGGTTTTATCCAGGCCAGCACCTTGTCCCCTACCCCAACCGACTCCAGCCCATTCCACGAAGGGTCCGAGGCTGAGCCTGGCTGCTCGCAGGACCCGCCAAACCCAGCCCAGCACTCTTAGCATCATTCTGTCAGGGGCTCCCGCAGAGGGCGCGGGAACTTCGGACTGGCCCCGGGGCTCACCGCAGTCCTTGAATTTCACCGGCTCGGCCAGGGCGGAGGCACTGAGTGCCAGGAACAGGAACGAGAGGGCCAAGAAACGCATCACTGCTAAGGCTCCAAGCTCAAGGAAGGGAGAACCAGCTGTCTCGGTCACAAGATAAAGTCTTCAGGGATGGGCCGGGCCGGGGGAGGAGCCCAGTCAGGCGACCGGTCACTGGCCAGCGGGGCCGAGGCCGGGCCGAGGCCTGCCCGCGCCCCGCCCTCGGGTCCTTGGAGCCAGACAAGAGGTCCGGGACTCTTGCAAACTCCGCCCATCCGCTCCGCTCCGCCGCGGAGCAAGCGGGATCCATCTTCATCCGGCGCGCCTCCTCTCGCCAACGCTCCGCCTGGGTTTTGTGGGTGCGTCCCCGCTTCCGCAATGGGAGCATTTCTAGCCAATCAAATCCCTTCTCCTTCCTCATCTCCCAATAGATGTGCTTAGGGGCGGGGTTTCCGTGGATCCCGCCTCCCGAAGCCCAGGCGCAGAAGGCGATTGGGGAAATGTGAGGGGGCGGAGCTTTCGGAAGAAAATGGCGGCCGTCCGAGGGCTAACAGCTGTGGCCCTGAGAGTTGTGACTCCCTGGCATGGGAGCAGGTAACCAAGCCTAGAAAAGTACCTGGTTAGCGCCTCCAGGACTCAAGCGGAACTAAGGCTCGCGGGGGAGGTGAAGGTTTGGTGTGAGGCTGTCCAGGTAGAGGGACTTCAGGTTTGGGGTTGAGGCTGTAGAGGTGGAGGGACTTCTTGTTTGGGGGTGAGGCTGTCCAGGCTGGAGGACTACAGGTTTGGCGTGGGGCTGTCCAGGCGGGGGCGGGGGGGGGACTTCAGGTTTGGCGTGGGGCTCCTCAGGAAGGGGGACTTCAGGTTTGGCGTGGGGCTGTCCAGGTGAAGGGCTCTAGGTGTTCTGCTCCCAGGCTCACCCTCCTCCCTTGCGCAGCAGGCTCCTCGCGGCCTCCCGCGGACCCCGGGCGCTTCGGGAAGTGTCGTCCTCTAGCCCAGAAGCTGGCGAAGGGCAGATCCATCTCACCGACAGCTGCGTCCAGGTGAGAGGCCGGTCGCGGGGCAGGGGTGGCGGGCGAGAACCGGGAGTGGGAGGTGGGGGGGGGACTTCCCTTTTGGCCCACCCTTCTTTCTCTCCTTGCCTGGCATTCTTGACCCTCCTTCCTGCATTTCAGAGGCTTCTGGAAATCACCGAAGGGTCTGAATTCCTCAGGCTGGAGGTGGAGGGAGGTGGATGCTCCGGATTCCAGTACAAATTTTCACTGGATACAGTTATCAACCCCGACGACAGGCAAGGAGAAAGGGGTGGGTCCTCCGAGAATGTGCAGGAGGGATAAAAGTGTCTCCAATTTAAGGTGCACTTTTATTCCACATTTAAAACTTTTGCTAAGGATAGTATCACAGCACCCTTCTCACACAGTGGGGATGCAATGAAGATTTGTTGCCTTGATTCAAAATAACTCAGTCATAGGAGGAAAATTGGCCTGAGTCCATAGGGTCATTGGTAGTCAGGCTGGAGTTGAAAGTTTCCAGGCCTAAATTTCTAAACACTTCCCAGTATTCTTTCCATTGAATCTTTTTGCCTCAAAGAAAATCAGCACATGTTAGAGGTCCTAAGGGAAGCCTCCTGTGTATTTTAGAAAACAGGATGGGCATCTCTGGGCTCAGAGGGTGTTATGTTTCTGGTGTTTATGATGTTCATTAATGCCTTCCTCCCCTCTTTTCAGGGTGTTTGAAAAGGGTGGGGCAAGAGTGGTGGTTGACTCTGATAGCTTGGCCTTCGTCAAAGGGGCCCATGTGGACTTCAGCCAAGAACTGATCCGAAGCTCATTTCAAGTGTTGAACAATCCTCAAGCGCAGCAAGGTTGCTCCTGTGGATCATCCTTCTCTGTCAAACTTTGATGTGATGACAAGTGACCCAGAGATTGCTATCATCTGACTGATTTGAGGAACCTGGGATTAGAACAATTCTAGAAGTTTTCTTCCCATCATGACACTCTCTCAATTTTATTTTCCCTTAATTCAGGATGTTGTTTCACCACTATTTTCAGAATGTGAAAATTTTACTCTTGATTTAATTTCTCCTACACAGTTGTAAGGCCAAGCCTGTGGATGCTGTTACCTAAGATTTAGTAACTGGTTGAAACCAGTATCATCTGTAGAGCCTCCAAGGTTCCAGGAGTTACTTCTCTGGCCTTCAGAGCTACTTGTACAAGTGTGTATAGCTATGTGTAAAACATTCATTTTAAAGAAAGTCCTTATTTACTTGTGTTGTGGATCAGAATCACAGATTGCATAGCTTGAATACTGTGTTACTAGACCAGAAAGGATGAGACAGCCAAGTGAAATGTTATCTTTTTGTTTTGCTATTTATTTATTTATTTACTTACTTTTATTAAGTATAGTTGATTTGCAGTATTGTGCCAATCTCTGCTGTACAACAAAGTGACAGAGTTATATACATGTATACTTTCCTTTTTATTTTCTCTTCCATTATGGTTTATCATAGGGTATTGAATATAGTTCCCCTGTGCTATACAGTAGGGCCTTCTTGTTTGAAATATTATCTTTTTCATCTCACTCTTCCTTAATGTGCTAGTTTGCTTACCATTATTTTCTATGCAGCCCGTTCTTCACTTCCCATTTGTTACAGCAGATACATTTTCTTCTCATACTTAGGAATGTGTTAGATTCACAAAACCGATAACCCGTCACCCAGAAAAACTTGGACCTAAACCTCACTGATACTTGAATCGTAAGTTTGAAAATAAGCTCCATACTCCATATTCACACATTTTGAGATTCGTTGCTAATTTAGTGACTGAATCTTTTTAGAATATGTTGCTTTATTTATCTTATGGTGTAAAATGTTTCTGGTCTCATTGCATAGCTGGAAGTTGTCCCTTTGTTGATATAGATAATAGATACTTGGGGTTATTTTTTTTTTTTTCCAGCTTGAGCTATAAAATGCAGGGTGCCCATTTAAATTTGAATTTTAGACAAACAGCAAATAATTTTTAATATAAGTGTGTCTCTGTGAATACTAAAAATTATTTGTTGTTTATCTGAAATTCAGATTTAATTGGGTATCCTGTATTTTTATTTGTTAAATTTGGTAACCTTACTTTAAAGTCTCTGAAAGAAGAGCTTTTTAGCCACAAATTCCAATGAATTTTAAAGTAGTTGTTTGGGTATAGTACTTAAATAGGCTAAGGAGCTAGAAACAACCATAGTATGTATGTGACAGTGTTGGGGCAGCCAGAACTGCATGGCAACAGACAACTAAAGGGAAAGATAAAAAGCACCACAACGACAAATGATTAATGAATGCTAATGTTGGGGAAACCACAACCAAGTTGATTCTGTAAGGATTACTGGTTAAACTCATCTTTTCTTTGAGACCCTGAAAGTTTATATCAGCAAATTTTGCATTCTGGAATGGATTGAAACTTTTCTGGACTTAATTAAGGTCATTCAATAAAAGAATTATCCTTAAAAAAATAGAAACACAGAATCTGAGACAGAAACTTACGTTTTCAATATGGGAAAACCTAGGACTTAGAAGAAACCTGTCATGTGTGTGCAGTGTATACAGACATAAAAGGTCACTCAGAAACCTGAGCAGGTTTTTTCCTTAGCAAATTGCCATGGAAAAAGTCAGAAAGCAGTGTGCGGAAGCATCTGTGTGTGAACTTTCCTAAGCCATTGAAAGTGGCTGCCAATACCTGGGCCTAATAAGGTTTTCAGCACAAGACTAAGTCCTTTCATCCTCCTTGAGAAGAGATTTTGTTACATTTTAAGTGTTAAACCTCTTCTCTGATATTTTTGTGGGTTATTGATATGATGAGCTTAGCACAAACATAATAGCTTTCATTATTCAATAAACCATTAAGTTCCAGTGATCAGTTAGGCAAGAAGAGGATCTCTTCCAAAGACTATGTATAAATACCTCCTATGAATGGAAGAATTGAATTTTGTGTTTAGCAAAAGTGGGTTTGGGAGAAATCAGCTTACTTCATCATACTGGGAAAGCTTCATAGGGGAGCCTGAGGTGGTGACAAGAAGTTTCCATTGGAGGACGGTGATGTAGAAATTTTAAGAACACAGGGCATGAGGAGATGATGACATCAAGGGGACAGTGGGTAGTTGGCTTGGAATAAACTGTAAGTGATGGTAAAAATAGGTTTAGGATTTTCCGCAGGCCTTTCTGACCAGGTGACCTCTTCCTGGCAGGCTGTAAAAGCCTGCAGACGTTTTCACAAGTTTTGTTCACTGTGCAGTTCATTTAGGTAAATGTTATACTTTTTGAGGATCAGTTGGAAGATTTTTTGCCTCCCCATTACTTTGAGGGGAGATTATCAAGACCCCATTTATTGCAGAATTGGTTTTATTTACCTTCATAAGCTAGTGATCCCTGGGGTAGCGTGCCCCACCGTTGTAGCCAAACAATTGTGCAAGAACTGAAGGCACGGGACCCTCCCTCTGTTTTATGCTGTGAGTCTTTATGTTGTTGGCTGTTAACTATAGGTGTCCCACCTGCCCTTATTCTCTTTGTATGGGAATGTTGACCAGTTGCAGGGCGTTCAGGGATAAGAGATGAGGAAGGACTACTAAAGTAGGTATCCATGAAGGTACTCTTCTTTCTCTTTCTTCTGAGAATAGCGCCCCATTCTTTTGGTCTTTCATTGTAAAGCACAAGAGGAGGGCCAGAATTTGGCTGGAACATCCCATATAGAGAAGTGGGCAGTACTGATCATCAGTGCTGGGAGGGGGTAACCCTCCCCTGAACTCGGGCCCTGAACTGACACCCTGCAGTGGGCGGGGTCTAAGTGTCTCTTGCGACATGGCCTTGCATGTGTGTCTCAAAAGCAGGAAACTTCTCCACTTTTTTAGGTATCTAGCATTGATGTTTATGATTGCCTTTTTAAATCCCTCTTTGCCATTTCTCCAGAGAAATGCCACCAGGATGTTTAAAGGAAATTTGATTTAAGAAGTGTTGAAAGTTATCATCTGGCTTTAATGGTAAAACATAGTTAGATAAATATATAAAGAGAGGGAATATTTAAGCAGTCTATGTCCAGCAGCTGTATTTAAAAATATTTTATTTTTGAATAGGTAAGACACAGTACAAAATTTGAAAAGACACAAATGGGGATACAGTGAAGAGTCTCCCAGTCCTGTGCGCATCCACCTGTTGCCCTTCCCATCAACTACCATTGTTTCTAAGAATTTACCCCACAGATATAACCCCATAGATACAATGTGAAATAACATATGCACAGGAATATTCATCGTAGCACTATTTATAATAGCAAAAGATAGGAAAGAATGGAAACACCCATTAATAGGCTGATTAAATAAATTATGATTTGTCTATTCAATGGAGAAGTATACAGTTATAAAATAGACTGAGGCAGTCCTTTATGTGCAAGTCCATATGGCGTGGAAAAAAGCAGAAAAGTGCAGAACAGCACGCATAGTGTGCTATTAATATTTGTGTTTCTAACACAAGGAAATGTGTGTACAAGCGTTGAAACATCCCTGGAAGGGTGACAGGAGGGTGGGGTTTGGGAGATAGGGCCGTGGAGCAGCAGTTAAGAAGATGCAGTGCCCGAAGGGTATACTGAGGAACGGTGAGTTCTCTGAAATGTGAGGTGTGAGGTGGAGTGGCGGAGATGAGGTTAGCTCATACCCACTTCTCTTCTTCCTCTCTTTAGACAAATAGCAATAGCAGCATATGTTTCACTTTGCTGTGCAACCTTCTTTCTTCCCTTAATCTGTTTTGGATATCTTATCCAGGCGTCTAGAGCACCCGCCCCCCATTTTTTTTCTTTTTGGGCCTCCTTGGCAATGCATTGTTTCTAACCTTTTGCTGTTACAAATAATGCTAAAATAAATAACTCCTTACATACATCATTTTACATTTGGTGAGACTATATCTGAAGGTTAAATTTAAATTCCGAGAAGTGGAATGACTGATTTAAAGAGTAAGTGCTTTTATAATTTTGAAAGACATTGCCATCCTCTTCAGAAGTTGTATCAGAATATACTCCTGTCAGCTATGTGTGTGAGTGTACTGCTTTCCCATAGATGCTTGCTAATTAAGAGTTTTAACAAACGTTTAAATTTTTACCAATCTAATAGTTTAAAAAAGTGTCTCCGTATAGTTTTCACTTGCATTTATTTTTATTATGAATGAAGGTCAGAATATTTTCATATGTTTAAGAACTATATATTTTTGTCTGCTGAAAACATCTCAACTGGTGTAGTGACCTAGAGCAGATTATTTAAGCTTTGTAAGTCCAAGTTCCCCATCTGTAAATTGGGAATCAAAATAGTAAGTAGGATTGTTGAATGATTAAATGAAATTTGTGAACAGCGTTCAACACAGGCCTGGCACATAGCAAGCATTCAATAAGTTATCATGTGATGGCTGACAATCAGAGCAGCATATAGGACAGGACAGATTCAATTAAGAAAAGAGGATTCATCTCCACATCTTCAGGCACACGGAGCCTTGTTCATTTACATTGCCATTCAACAGAGAAATGCAAAGTCAGATCTTGCCTTGACTTAGAAGGGGAAAGAAACTTCTGTTGAAACCCAGTCATGTTGGCAGAGCTGGTGAGGGGGTAAGCACAGTCTCATCTCTAATGTTCAGACTCAGTCAACGTTTAATTTGGTTTAATTTGAAATTTGGTTTAATATGAAATAAAAACAAAACCAGAATATCCCAGAAATGTACATTTCTTTATTCCACCATGGTCCTAAACTCCCAGCTAGCCCAGGCTGGAGTGAGTCTCTACTTGTAAACTCAGTGGGATGCCAGCCAGCCATTGTAGGAAGGGGAAAGAGGGCAGACGCCTCTGAGTAGAGAGGAAACAACACAGGGACCTGGCTTCTCCTTAACAGGATTACATTGTATTTCAGAAGCTAGAAAATAGACTTCTTTATTTTTAGCACATCCAACTGGTGTCCACAAAAGGAGAGCCCAGGAGAGACTTGTGTCCTGTAAGAAGCAGTATGGATTTAATGGAGGTCTCGGAGAGAGGCACCCAGTCTCAGGGCAGCCCTTGCTGTGGTGCACAGGAGCTATCGCTGGGTAGACTGAATGGTTATTACCTGAAGCTACTGATTATTTTCCTTAAATCTGTGTAAAGCATGGTGCCCCCTTTCTCATCAACTCCCCGTATTTTTTTTTTTTTTTAATATTGTCCTATTGCCGCTCTCTCAGGCTCCTTACTCCCCTTCATGTGCGTCTCTTACTAGCAAGCTAGTATCAGTCTTGCTTCTCTGAGATGAGGGCATCTTCTGCCCCCCTCCAGGGCCACATAATTGGCAACAGGGTGGAGACGTGGCTAAATTTGGCCCATACCAGACAGGCTGAGTGGTGCCGATCACTCCCCAAACTCCTCCCCCGCGCCCCGCCCCATCCTTTTTCACTGGACAGGCTCTGAAGGGCCATTACAGGGCAGATGCGGCCTCCGATCCAGGTGTAGGAGCGTCAGGATGATACGTGGATCGTGTCTGGAGAAAGGGTATGTGCAGTGTGAGGCCAAAGGACCTTGCACGTTTGCACAGCTTGAGGGGCTGGGGTTGAGGGCCGTCCTTTGATCAGCATCCCATGGCAAGGCCAGGACAGATGGCAGGCTGGGCTTCGTGGCCAGTGGTTGAAGCATTAAAGCACTTGGTGGTGTTTGAGCCAAGCAAGGGCATGGCCGGGCGGAGGCCGTGACAGAAGCTCAGACAGCAAGAGCCGAAGCTGGGGGAGATGAAAAGCAGGCGAGGCTGGCTGGGAGCTGGGCCGCAGGGCCTCCGGCCGGTGTCTTCACGGCGTCTCCCCAGCTAGGAAAACTTCCTCAAGGCCCCGCCTGTGGCCAGGGCCCATTTCCAGGTAACTGCCCACACTCGACCCGGCTCTGCTACTCCTTGGCAGTGCAGTGTGGGGGACCTGCCTCAGCCACGTAACCCGGGAGGCAGTGGCAGCGGTAGGACCCCTCCGTGTTCTCGCAGTGCCCATGGACACAGAGCGCGGCAGGCCCGTTCAGGTCATCACACTCATTCACATCTAAGGGGGAGAGGGAGGAGAGAGCTGTAGGGAGCCCACGTGCCTCTGGCCTGCTGCCCCGGTGCCCCTCCGGTCAGCAAGCCCCGAGTCCGTGCCCTGCAGCGGAATCCTCCGTGGGGCAGCAAAGGATGCCCCGAAGGAAGCGACTCGCGGACACAAAGCCAGTGGTCATGAGCCCACACTGTGACCGTGCTGTCTTGCCCCTGCCTTTCTTCTGCCTAGGAACCTCCATGGAAAGGGCTTTCTAATCACAGTGATAGACCTTCGGAGCTCTCACCACCTGGCCTGGTGCCTGGTAGGCCCGCTAGCGGGCAGCAGTGGGACTGCCACCTAGGCGAAGTCAGGCGTCCCTAAGTGAGCAGTGGGCCAGTCTAACTATTCCACATGGAGCCAGCAGGACCGTCCTGCCCCCCGGGCATCTGCACTCTTGATTCCAGACCTACCCA